GAGTCGACATCCTAGCGTGACTGATAATAATTGAAATTGGACTGCACGATAAACAGTACTGAAATCCTAGTCTATGTTGGTTTGTGATTGCTTACCGGTCTTTTTCAAATTGCGGAATGTTGCTTGCAGCACTCGCCATACTGTATGTTATAGAACAAATGCACGCAAATATCATTTTATGTACTTGTTTGGTAGCAAATTATTACTTCTTCAAATTTTATACTTCAAGGAATGGTATCTTCTGGTTTTAAAAAAGCTTCCAAATTATCTAGAAATTTTGAACCCTAAAGGCCGTTACATTTGAATTTATGCTCCCCAAAATATACACTGTAAACAATATATATATCAAACATGTAGGCGCATTGTGGCACGCGTAGGCGTTGGCTGACGCCGCATCAGCCACCCGCGCCCGATCCCACCGCCGAGCTTCTTGACTTTTTTCTTGACAACGGGCACAGATGGATGAGGGAGCAGAGAGAGTGTGTGTGGTAGATGCTGCGCTAGTCACGCGTAAGTCACCGCGCTCGCATTCAGCATGCTGAAGTAAACGCGGTGGACACCATCCAAACCGACGGTCAAACAGTCAGAGTTTTCCAGGCACAAAACCCAAACGCGCAGGACTGCCTGAAGGGGTATTCGGTAGAAACGACAGTAGTTGTGTCATAGACAGCCTCCAGGGAGCTTCCACAGGCTCTGTATGGGACCATCGACTGCGCGACGCGACTCAACAACTTGACTCACGAGGGATAGCCTCTGTTGAATGAAAGTCCTGTCCGCATGTCAAGTGGGAAAAAATAATAAAAGGGGGCGAGCTGCCTGGGAGTCACACCTTTTCCATGTTCACTGTCAGTTCTGAGAACCAGTGCTCCGCCACAGCCAGCGGGCTCACTTTGGACTGCCTGTTGGTGATGGGGAAACTGTTGTTATGTCCACCACAGGCCGCGGAAAGGGATGCGCTGTCGTTAGCAGCGTAGCTTGCATCAGCGGGCGGATTCTTCTCCAGACTTATAAAGGCCAGTTGTAGACAACCTTAAAAGGTGGGGGAGATAATATGCTGAGTGTAATGAGGGTGTCACTGCGGAGCTAAAGGACAAAAAAACAGCACGGCAACAACAGATTACATGGATCACTGGGACATTTTTTACTTTGTATAACTGCCTACTTGTTTCGTGGTAGTAAGCATGGTTTGCTTCACGACGTTGGCGTCGCTGTATTACGTACTACGAACGTTCGACATATTCGACCCACATATCCCATGGAAATCGTGTCCGTAGAAGAAAAAAGAATCAGTCCTTCAAATGAAAATAAGTCAAGCATGTGCAGATCAGAAAATACCGCCTACCGCCCATGTAACGGCACCCAAATTGAATTCGGG